AAATTTTTCAGATCGGTGCTTGAACGAAAAGAGAGCAACACCTTTGAATAGCAAGGCCTCGGATTTCATTGTGAACTCGGTGCTCGAAAACGAGAGCATCCTTCTTCGTCATCAAAGCGAACGTTTCCTAAGTTCAAACGAGCGCAGAAAAGAAATATGGAAGGCAATTTCGAAGGAAGTCTTTGACAAATTCGATATCGCACTTACGCCTAAACAGGTGCAACAACACTTCAATAATAGGAAAAGAAAAGCTTTGTCGCTTGAACCTCGAGAAAAGAAGTATGTTTACCATTTTAGCTTTCTTGTCAAGTAAGCACATGACAGATATCGCAAAGAAACGGGAGCGGAAAGAAATCTCGCAGAAGAACCTGTGGCTGAAGAAGAAGCCATTTCAAAGGCAGCATTCGAGTTGCAAAGCTACTATGACCAAGAAATAGCAACGCAAGGGCCAAGTGAAGATACGCTGAATGTGGATGCATGTATTGTTACAAGATGTTAATTTAAGTATTACATTGCAGTGGATCAAAGAAGAGAGGGTAGAAGGCAGCTTTCTTTTCGATTATTCACAAGGACGCAAAAATGTTAAAGAAGAGGTTCCGTTTGTATCATAATGATTTGGAGCGGATTTTGGTGATTTTAGCAGGAAATGATGAAGAGCGGACCACAGGGAAACGAATCTTCAACATGCACAAGTTCTATGATCAATGTAAAGTTTTCTTGACTGCACTCACCGAGACCTCATCACTCACTCACTAAGACCTGAATTTAGCAAATGAATGATACAGTTGATTCCGACAAGTCAACTAAAGAAAAAGACAAGTCTGAAAGCGGTTTGGACGAGAAACTTAATAAAATTGTGGAATGTTTCCAAACAATGACTCAGGTAATAAATGCAGGCCACATGCTGGTTGACCAAACATATTTTTTAAGGAACAAACGAGGATGTGCAGAGCCTTCATCCAGTTGGCTGAATTGCAAAAGAAGGCGCTGGAGAGCATTATAGATTACACCAAGCTGCATAATCTCAAGTCAGTGCATAAATGCAACGCTTCAAAACAATACTTTGAAACTTCATCAATTTACTTAAGAAAATCCTAATGAAGTGACCACAACTGCAGAAGAATGGACTCGTATGAAATGGATTTTTCATAGTAGTAATCCTCAATAAACCATGCAAAGCTAAGTAGCTTTTTTTCTTACGCCTTCTCAAAACAATCACAAAAGTCTTGGATATTGGCAGATTGATGTGGCATAGCAGCCAAACATGCATCAGACGTGGCTATCCATATT